GTACTATAGTGACATGTATGTTTTTTTCTAAAATACAATAATGTGACAAATTAAATGAAATAAATAGAAGATGTGTTTTCTTTGAAGGGGTACCCCTACAAAGATTTAATTGAAGCCCACAGTTTTCATAGAATATATAGGGATTTGAAAATAATGCATGGTCCTTATTTTTCTTGCTTTCACAACATTAATTTATGGTTGGTTGAGTGAGAGGTGGAGTCATATCAATTTTGACTTTCAAAGGGTTTGTTCGAGTTAAAAGAAATATTTATACGATCAGATTATTTATATAGATAAGCATCGCTATCATAGTGTTGTAAGTTTCAATAATGATCTTATATTTTTGTGTATATTTTAATTTTTTTTACAAATGGAATAATCCGATAAAATATTCAGATTATGACGATGTAGGTGGTTCGTTACCCTTCGTCATACATAGTAATAAAATTATCGTAAGTAATTTGTTATTACAAGTTAAATTATACTGATAGTAAAAATCTTTATATATATACTATGATTGGTACATAATTTAATTGAATCCTTTTCCTTTTAGCATAAAGTTGAGATGTAATTTTCCTTGGGACTACCCTATATACTATTCTGAGTAATTTGAGACTTCCTTGTCGTCCTAAATGTGCAAGTAGACAAGTTGGAAGTACAAATATTTAATTATTTCATATTTTGCGAGTCCGTTTGATCATAAAAATTATTTAATTTATTTTTCATTTGATGTTCGCTACTCATATTAAAATCCGATTAAATTCAGATTCGCGCTGTGAAGTCCCACATTGGGGTAAAGTGCTATCTAACAAAGGTGATCCCGTACACATGGGACTACTCAAACTCGAAACATTTGGTTAAGAATGAAGGAGTACTTACCGCTCCATCACAACCCTTGTTGGTCAATTTAAAATCATATTTCACTTTAGTTAAAAATCTTTTATATTTATATATATATATATATATATATGCTACATGTTAAATTCATTTAATTTCTTAGTATTCTTGTTATTTTTATATATATTTTAACATTCTTAGAATCGTTAGTCGTGGTAGACGTGACATGCTCTCTCTTTCTTTATAGAATAGTTGAGTAAAACCAAAATAATAATTATGATAATTAACACTGAAAATCATAAATGTGGTAGTAGTAAATTCAAAGCTTCAATTTTTGCATTTATTTTTCTACATTTCATTTATTCTTTCTTTTTAGATTATATGCAAATAGACAACTTAGGAATTGCAGGAGTAGGATGATAAAATTCTATGAAACAACTAATTAATGTGAGCTGACAAAAGAACAATGGGACATTGTATCAGTAAAACATGTTACATATGCAATATAATAATCCAGAGGGTCCACCTCAAATATAATTAACGGATAAATATTTACGAGTATCAAGTGTTTACGTCGAATTATATAAAATTTATTAAAGTTAAGTAATTTAATGAGATTAGAATGCTTATTAATAATTACAGTTAAGTATTATTCTCTTCATCTCATCTTAATTGTTGTGTTTTGCTTTTCAAAAGTATATTATAGAGTATAAATAACATACTCAAGTAACTAAGTTTTTAAAATGATTCATAAATTTTAAATTCTGAAATTGTTTCTCCCATTTGTACACGAAGGATGAGGGCACCCCTAAGCTATAAGGACAGACCAAACTCCACAGCTCTTCATTTGTCCTTAAATGTGCAAGTGGACTAGCTACTTGCCCCTCTATCTAACTTTTTTACTCAAAAAGAAAACTTATCAAATATCTTTCGGAACGAATTCAGTATTTAAATTTTATCATGAGTATTCACAATTCATTTGATTTTTTCAATTCATAACATATCGTCTGAACTTATATGTGCGTTGGGTTTGAGACTATTTGTCTATATCTACTATTAGTATTGAACCTCAACTTATAACTTCAATTTCGTACAAAGAAATTTCACATTATGAAGTATTAAGCGATTCTACATCCAAGAATTGATCAAAAACATCTAATTAAATAATATTTATTATTCTATCACATTTTTTATGAGGAAATTAAATGGCATGATTGTAGTAAGAAATGTGGTTTCATTAGGTAAATATAAATAAAACAACCAAAACGACAAAGGTAGGATGTCCAAATTCCTTTTTGCTATATTTATATATTCTTATATCACCTATATCATTTTATTTTATTTTATTTTTATCACCTATATAATTATTATTTTTTATAATTATAACCTATCATTAATATACAACGTCCATGAAAAAATGTCGGCAGAGAACTATAGTCCACAGTATACTTTTATTCCTTCTTGTTGTAATTTCATGAAACTTTTGGTGTTTTAATGTCATTTCATGAACTATAAGTTCTATATATAATTGAATTACATTCCCTACACATTGACCCCACACGTTTACAAATGTGATAGACATGTCCCTTCCTATTTTTTTGTTTTGTTTCTTTTTGTGCTGGTTCCTGAAATAGACATTTCTTACCAAATGCAATGCACCGGATGAAACTGTTTTTCTTATCGAGAGGTCTCAGGTTTGAGTTTGAGTATGAATTTTTTTTTTTTGTAGGAATACTTCAACCGGAATGGGGCACTATGCGGTGTGAATTGGTAATAATTGAGCTCCAATACAAGTATAAACATTGAGTGCAAAATAAAAAAAATAGGTTTTTCTCATTAATTAATTATGTTCTGTCAATTTCCAATCTTGATGAAGAAATCAATCAAGTGACTTTTTTTAAAGAGAAAAAAATCTAATATTATATGGTGCGGTTAAATTTAACTAGATTTCTACGTATGTGTATATTCAAATTCAAAAGAAAAATATATATGACAAAAGAATAAACTGTCTAAAATTAGCTATAAATATCATCGTTAATCGATTAATAAATAACTTAAATAGAATTAGCGATGAATTTTAATTAAGACTTACAATTTAACACGAATATAATTTGTTGACTACTTAAGAGTTGAATTTTAGGGATTTAATATTTTATTTTATAGACTTATGTCCCAAAAAAAAATTCCACGACATGGAGAAGACTACGTACATGTTGACTTTTGTTACTAATATTGTTAATTGATTGAAATATTCACGTATTATTTTTCAATTTTTTAATCATTTTATTCTATTATTAAGTAAATTTAGCTTCTTTTTATTTCTCTTATGGCTAGTTTTATTTCTTTGTTGCAAGGATCATATTTATATAGCGATCGTATTAGTCATTAACTATAGTTTAACGATAAAAAGGCTTGTATTATGTTTTTATTAAATTAGTGTAAACATCAAGTTCAATAAGTGTTTACCACATTTAATAGGTGAAGGTAGTATTATTTTTTAATTTCAATTTTGCACAACTGTTATCCACTAATTTTTTTAATAATCACTTGATTTAATATGTCCAACCTAGCTACAACACAATGTTTAGAGTCTAATGATATCGATGGGAGTCTCCCTCATAATAAGTGTGAGCTCGATTCTCGTTAATCCCTTCTTCCCCTCTCGCGGTCCCTATGCAATAAAAAATAAGAAAAATGTTTAACTTGAAAAAGGAAAAGGGAAAGAGATATGTTGTAATTTCCCCTAATATATTTCAATATAATCTTCATTTTATTTTGGTATATACTCCCTCCGTCCCTTTTTAGTTGTCCACTTTAGAAATGGCACACAGATTAAGGCAACAATGATTAGCACAGTGAAGTTACAATTTTATCCTTATGACAACTTTTCACTTCAAAATTACAACCACTTATTTGAATTAAGTGAAATAAATTGGAGGGAAACAACATACACTTTTACAATTTTCAAGAAGTGTAAATAAGGGTATAATAGGAAAAAAATTGTTGTCCTTTCTTGATTTGTCAAAATGGACAACTAAATAGGGACAACTAAAAAAGGAAATATGGACAAGTAAATAGGGACGGAGGGAGTATATGTTAGTGAGGTGATTGGATAATAAAGGAATATGAACAAATCCAAGTACACAAAAGGCCCACCCACATGCAATGGATTAATAAGTCAATATTTTGAGTTGCTATCATCTTTTTAATGTACGGAGTATTTCTTTTCTTAAGTCATATTCGACTTTTTTGAAAATAAAATAAAATAAAGAGACAAAAAGTATTTTCAGTTACCAAAATCTCACATATCACAATCATTTGTGTACTGTTTTCCACCTTATGTGCTCTTGATAAAATTTCATTAGATGTAAAATCTGGGAGGCGAGGTTGAGATGATCTGAATATATGAAAAGGAGATGTATATATGTCTCAATGAGGAGGTGTGAGAGGTTGTCTAAGCAAAGGTAGAGGAAGACCAAAGAAGTATCTGGGACAAGTGATTATACTGAAGACATGACCAATATGAGGATATAGAGGTCGAGTATTAAAGTTAAAGATTAGAAGGTAGTTGAATATTGTCTAGTTTCTCTTATCAGTATCATTATTATGACTCTCGCTATCCTATTGTTACTACATGTTGTTTTCTTGCTTTTTCGGTATTCGTAATATTTGTTGTTGTTATTATTCTTTTCTACATTATATTCTACATGATTTTTATACTATTGTATTTCCTTTTTATATTGTTTAATCTGTTTTGTCTAAGGTGATGATCTATCGAGGACAACATCTCTATCCTCACAAGGTAGGAGTAAAACATACACATTACCCTCTTCAGATCTCACTTGTGGAATTTCACTGAATATGGGTTATATAATGACGATGAAGTAAACTCATGTTAGTCAACGAGCACAAATATCGAGTAAATCTGTCAGACAAAGTTAAATAACAATAGGCTCATAGTAAACGTTGTAGCTGAAGGTTCGAACCTGAGATCATTAGATTGTTACTCTTATATGCCAAAACCACTCAATCAATCATTCTCTCAGAGACATGTCTACTGTTTTTCCATTTACTTTCTTTCAAATATGAGAGGAGAGAATACCTTGTAGAACAGAAGGATTGAAGAAGAATCAAGCCTCACAAAAGTAAAGTTTCGAGCTCTATTCAAACATCAAGGCTGCACTCTCACCATTGAAACAAAGCCCCGAGGGCTATTACATTGTAAGAATCATGTAGAGGGTTTATCTATTTTACAACAGTAGCATTACCTAGAACGCTTTAACTTATCATGAGGTTTTACGATTATGAATCAGTAACAAGGAATTGCACAACAATGTGAGACATGGAACTTAACTACATAGTACAAGTGAATGAGTAGCTTTCATGGAGAAAGCTCGAGTAGAGCTTACTTTAGATTAATGAAGTTCAGGCTGCATTTCTTCTCAGCAACCAGAGTAACAAGATCCTTCACCGGCCAAGGAACCCGTCTTCACTCTTTGTTATTAACAATCTCCGGAAGGCTCTTCAGTGCCTGTGATAGAAAAAGAGATTAATACCAACGGGGGAGAGAGAAAAGATTATGAAATGGTGATTGAACAATGATTCTTGCTGCTGACCTGATACAAGTGCCAGGAAACAAAGGCATCTGTAGCAGCATAATGTAGTTGGTCCCTAGATAACACATTAGCCTCCCAATTCCCCAACCTGATATTGCTTGGCTTAGGGAGCTGCAAAAAATAGAAAATCTCAGTTGAATCTCACACTTAATTGGAAGAAAAGAACAACTAGAAAGATCTGGAGAGTGTAGCAGCACAACATAGTTATTGTAGTAATAAGGCAAATTCTGTCCAGCAAGATTTTATAATCACTTCAAGATTGATCAAAATGTAGGATCGTAAAAAGGGAGGAAAGGATTGGGAAAAGGAGGAGCAAATCAACACCATAAGGTCCTCCGTGATGACATTCAGGGTATACATAAAGCCAGCCATTAGGCGTTTGACACATAGAGGAGCTAAGTGTATTAGTGGGCATATCTATGAAGAGACTCGTGGGGTGCTCAAGATTTTCTTTGGAGAATGTGATTCCTGATGCGGTTACTTACACAGAGCATGCAAGGAGGAAGGACTGCCACGGATGGTGTGTATGCCTTCAAGAGATGGGGCTCATCTTTGTATGGTTTTGGGGGTTGAGGGGAGATTGGCTTCTGAGTTTTGTTTTGTCTGCAACAATTTCTGTCAAGAAAAGCACAAGACTGGTTCTTTTGTAATTTGGGATTTGGTGGAAATTGGAATCTTATTTCAGAACTTCTGAAATTTGCTCTAATTCAGTAAATACTGCTGACTGATTCAGTTTTTAAAAAAAATTATTTTACATTCTAATATGCACATATGTCCAGCAGATGAGGTAGCATTTCTACCTCGTCTCTTCTTTAAAAGTTGCAAGTTTGAAGTTCTTTATAGTTTTTACATTCCTTAACAAGTCAACTAAAAAACCTCAACTCTATTGATACGAAACTGACTGGAACAGGCAAGAAACCAGTCCCGGATTTCCCCTTTGCCTCCTCCCTGACCCCTGGTCAAGGATCTCAAAAGCAGAAAGGAAAAGCATAAAATAGAGAGACAATATAAACGGTTGAATCAGAAACCAAAAGACCTGCTTGGCAAGAAGCTTCTCAGTTAGTGATGCTAGACTCCACTTCTTAGGATCATCAAGCTTTTTGTTGGCAAGTTCAGAAAGATCTTCCAAAGCCTTCACAGATACATTGTGATCTCGGCGAACTTTGTAAGCATCATTTGCAATGCAAACACCCACCTAGGTTTGTTCGAACACTACAAAGTTAAGAAACCACATCCTATTATAATTCATTGTTTGATAAATGTTACCAGAAAAAGTGAACAAATGCCAACCTTCACAACAGTTGGATCCTCAAGAAGAGATTGCAGAGTTTGAGGGATTCCAGAGTGGATGATATGCAGAACATAACAATTACCCTTGTCACCACATATCTGCATAACAGCGGCCTTCCCAGGTGGAACACCTGAAGAGAACACCTAGTATTCTGTAATCACTATTACTTACAACATTCCACTTAACACAAGTAAAATGAAACAGAAATCCAATTAATTACACATGTGATAACTAAAACAAAAGGTCGGGGGGGTTATATTCGCCTACTTATAGACTAAATAGCATGCCTAAACAACTAGAGTATGAGTGCAAGAAGTGAAGCCAAATAGGAACATACAAAAGAATAATCTCTCAATAATATATTTTAGGAGAAACTTTATATAGAGAAAAGAAGTCTTTCTAATCACCACAAGTATATTGAGAAACTCTTGGTAGACATATCTACTTAAGATGCAGATGTAATCACTAAGATGCAATGACTTATGTCTGTTTTCTCAAAATATCTTTGTCGTCAACATATTCTGGATGTACTTTTCATGACATTTGTCTATACACTCTCATTGCTCCAAGAAAACAACAGCAGATAAAGTTACATGATTTAGAAGATTCATATATCCAACCCCAACTAGCTCGAGATGAAGCATAGTAGTGATTGTTGAAGTTTTGAAGACAAAACAAGATCAAGTAAGTTCCCCAACATCAAGTATGAACTATTAAACTTCACCGGGTGTCATAACAAACAATGTAACCTTTTGACCTTGTGGGATGATTCTTCAACAAATGTCACATTTTATAACTTGCAACATTCCATTTAACACCCCCTCAGTGAAGCTTAGTATAGTAAAAAGCTAAAGAAAGAGAATAAATGCAAAAGCTAGTAAATCGAAAGACTGATAGAATTCTAAAACTACTCAAGAATTCTGATTATAGTTCTCATATTTCAGACAGTAGTGAAACTATCATTCGATTAACATTGAACTGACCTCTTCTAAAAGAGGGCTTCCATTCAATGTCAAATCCAAGAGCAACATTCCCTTCTTTCCTCTTCTTTTCCTCAACAAAATTTAACAGCTCTACTGCAGATTTCTCCACCTCTTTAATAGTTCTGCTGTATATAACTTGTCCTTTAAAAGACATTTCCGGGTATTGCATCACTAACTTAGCTGCTACATCAAAAAAACAAAAATGAAAACGAAAACTTGGACATTAAAATCCTTTAACAAACTAGCAAACATTTATAATACACAAACATAAACAATTTATGACTTCTAAAGGCTCGAGAGACAATTTTTTATCGGAGCAGTAAAACGGTATGCCAAACTGTGTTCGTTCCTCCAATAAGTTTAACTAGCTTATTCCAAGTACTCGCCTAAAAATGATTAAAAAAAAAAAAAGTGTGCAGGATTGATTCTCATTATATCGAATTCAAAATAAATGTCCGCTAGCATGATAATCCATTAATTCACTAAAATGGAAATTAGCATAAAATTTACCCATAAATCTAAAAATTAAATCTTTAGGTGAAAAAACAAAATATTAATACCACCCCTAAAATGTTCCCCTTCTGAATTTACTATCTGGTGTCTGTCCAGCTTTCACTCAAACTCGACTAATTTTGCGGGGTACCGTCACCTCCCGCCAGTGACATCCCTGATTAACAATTTACTACAGTTTGTCAAATAGAGCTCAAATCGAAAAACAAAAGCTAACTGCACACGAAAATAACTACAATTTGGCAAACAGATAGGAGAAACCGTCACCTTGATTAGAAGAACGATAGGAATAACTACACGGAGACCGATTTCTAGAGCAAGGTGACAACAACGACGAATTGGAAGCTTCATTTTGTTGATGATAAACAAAAAGAGATTCCGGCAATCTCCGGCGACTTTTCCGACGAGATTCTTCGCCGGCAGCGGCTACATCTTCAGAATCGTTTCGTCTCTTTGTAGCCGATTGAAATGCAGCATCTATTTCTTGGAGTTCTTCCTCTGTAAAAGGTCGATCCCAATCGTCGAATTCGCCGGAGATCGGAGTTCCCATTTTCGCTAAAAGAGTACCAAAACTGATTTTTCTTTTTTATGTAGCTAAAATAGCGGCATTATTGAGCTTTGATTTTTTAAAATTGTATTGTACTCCCTTTTAGTTTTATTATATGGTTTGATTGACACACTATCTATTTGAAAATTACACTTTCCACCCACAAATGTCGGATATTCATATTGTCAACCTTAATTAATTTGAAACGAATGATATTACACAATAACTATATTACGCGACAATTCCAAGTAAGTTGAGGTCAGCTATATAAATCTCCACATGACCATGTAGTTCTATTTAAGCTTGTGTCAAAACTTTCCCTAACAACAAGCAATCGCTCATGATTTAAACATGATGAATCACTTCGAACTGATCTATTGTCAATTCACTTCTCGGCCTCATATGAAAAATTGAAGCATTTTATCTATCGATAGATGAAGAATCGCGAAAGATAAAGGCTATACAAAATAAATATTTATTATTGTATGTCAAATTATGTATGACATACCCTTTATACATTTGATACAACAAACATTTGTTGAATCACACACATTATACTAAATTAATATTTCCAACATAACAAATCGAAATAAAATTACTTAACGTGGGCTACTAGCTGCAACAACTTTAAGAATATCTAAAGGAATATGAATAAATTTAACCAAAGCATTACGTGCATTAGCAACCTCAGCAATATGATTATCAACATAATCATCAACATCAACCGAATTAGCGGTACGCATTGCCTTAAGACGAGGATAACACACTTCGAAATCCGTTATCGCGATCGTATAATAATTAATCGCATCATTAAACGCACCATTCACCGTAGAATCGACCGCATCGTCGATTAACTCGATAGCCGGTATAAAATGATCATTACAATCACTTAAAGCTTGTTGTGTATCGGACGATAATCTGTCACTATTGTTAAGGAGCTTCATACGGACCGTTATTGACACATTAGTGGCCTCTTGCTCAATTTTTTTAAGCGCCAGAAAGCCGATTGTTTTTAAATCGGCTTTCTGGAGCGAATCGAGGTCGGCTTTTGACCTGTCTGTTTGAATCCATGAAATGCATTCATTATTGTTGCTACATGCTTTGGCAAGGTTTGGAGGAATAATATTTAAGGTTTGAAGTTGAATTCTTCCTTTGACAATTGGTAATTGAAGAGATAGGCAAAGGAAAAAGGCTAAAGGAATTAATTTTATAAGAAAAGAATTTGACCTCCTTGATAAAGAAAAGGAGATCAAAGCCATAATTAGTTTTATTTTTTAAAAAACTTTTTTTTTTTCTTTTTTTTAACCCCAAATTTTACTTGAGTATTATCATTGTTCTTTTCTTGTTTTCTTTGTTTTATATGGAAATGTTATTGATAGTTGAAAAAGATTGGTAGAGATAAATGATCTCTCTACCACCCTTTATGAAGAGAGGTTTTTTTTTAAAAATTGTGGGGGGTTTAATTAATTTTATTCTTGTGTTGTAAAAATGAACTAAAATTAAGGGATTGTGTTTTATCTTTGTAATGACCATTCATTTGTTGAGGGGGAAAAAAGGGAAAGCTTAATCATTCTTAAAGATCTTGTTTTGTTGTAATGTTTGTTCTTTCATTTTCTATCGTCTCTAAGGTTTGTGGTTCTTAAAGTGTTAAATATGGTAATAACAACATATCTAGTATAATTCCACAAGTGAAATCTGGAGAAGGTGATGTACTTTACCTTTTGAAGGTAGAGAGGTGGTTTTGATGAACCTTCGGCTCAAGTAACACATTTTAAACAATCTTTTGTCTCTGAATTTGAATTCACACACTATTCATCAACCGAGATATGTGTATAAGCCATAATCCGTAAATTGAGATGCAAAAGGCAATAAGCCCAAGTATCAAATCTTTGGTTTGTAAACCAAATGTAACATAATTCTACATTTTAAATGTCAAAAGCACCTTTACAAGCTATAATGACAAGAAGTCAACAACCAAAATCTCAGAAAAGGTACCAAAACATACTATTGACCTACCTAAGCAATAGCAACTTAATCTGAATAAGTTTGCCAAGAGGAAAAATATGGAACTCTGGAGATTGATGAGAAGTTAATTTATTATCAAGTGTACATCAGTACCTAAGTTGTAGCAGCCAAATTGGAACCGTCTCATGTGAATGGAGCAGCAACATTTAGTCGCGTAGCTAAGAGCCTAAGATAAAGTCTTGAACTTCACGCTAGCATCAACATGTCTGGTCCAAAAGAACTATAAGAACCACTACTCAAATTCCATAGTACTCGGGGACCAAGGATAGCAAGAAACACGGATACTCACTCTCAGTGTTTGGATACTACATGATATCAAGGTGGAATAAACTTCCCACAACAGGATATCATGATCTTCCCCACTAATATAATATTTGTGCAGCAATAGAGACAATTGTTGGCACTGTTTTATGAAAGCCTGGAGACCAAACAAAAGAGTCATGTATTATTGAAGCGTAAAAGAAGCAAAAATAACATAATAGCATAAACAGGAAAAAAAAAATGGATAATATAGCATATGATATAATAAAAGTATCTTTTCTTTCCCCATTTCCAAAGGGGTGCTTCTGAATGCTAATACCGTCGAGCAATTTATTAGAAGAATGAATGAGTTAAAACAGAGAGAATCATAAGTGGTGATATTATCAATGTACTTGCCAATTTTCAGATATTGTTCAGAATGCAGGCAAGAAAACAATGCTGAGAAGAAACTTCCTAATAAGTTATAGACAAGATACAGCTAACAATGTCTACCTAATTTCTGGTTATATTTTGCCCCTTGGAATACAGAAATCCTACATAATGAAAGAAGCACTTCACTAAGAGAAGCATCATACAATTACAACCTAATCTATGAACGGTAATTGTTCCTAGAGTCTCAAGCGACAAAATCCAGAATCATTAAGACTGAAGCAAAGGCATAAGCAGAAAGTAAAGTGCCTTTGGTTTAAAATGGGAAGGTAAGAAGAACGAGGCCATTTAATTTCATCATAAGAGTCCTTTGTCCAGCAAGCTTTTCAGTTCCTAGAATAACCTAGTCTCGAAACGTTGGACATAAGAATATGATGGAAAATGCTTCTTAAAATCACGGTGTAACAAAGAACAATGAATGACTAAGTAGACTTATTACACCAGAACCATGAGACCTTGGAAATATTGGATACATAAGAACATGCCAATAGCACAGAGCTACTTAAGTAATTCTGAACTTGTTTATTTTCTGTAAAGTCAATTATTCAGTTGCTTCTTTTTTTTATCCTATTCAACATTTGTTAAAAGGCTGTACTTGTGCAAGAACCCAAGGGGGTAAAAGAAGAGGAACATTGTTCAAAGTTATCGTTTATGAATACTGATGCTTTTTGTGAGCTGTAGACCAGATTGCGCCAGTAAGCAGGGCACAACGAATTTCTATGATCTCCTAAGAGCCAATGTACTCATGAAAACTGAAGAACCACCACATTGTTCCCCTGCCCCCACTTGTACATGCCTCATAGCAGCACCAAGTCTTAATCCCGAATAGAGAATCACATTGATATTCACACTTCTATTATTTTAAATTGCAACCACTTAGAATCACGAGCTAGCCATTCAGAGAATAATTTTATCTTTTGACAAGTATTAAGAGGAGTAATTTTCCAATGAGATAATAAGCGTAATAAGCTACAACTTCTATAAGTAGTTGATGCAGGAGCTAATGGGGAGCCACTTCCTGCAAGTTATAAGGAGCACCAACGAGCAACTCCATATGAAACAAGTTAATGCAAAATATAAAGCATACGAACCTCAACGTAATCCAAAAATCTCTTCTGGAGGATCATATATATGCCGATCCGGAAAAATCTCCTCAAAGTCTTGCTTAACCCTGTTTCTTAATAGGGGGTGTGGCAAAAGTCCCTTCAACAAAACCCTGAAAGGAAGCTCCTCGGGTGGGTATGGAGACTTTTTCATGTCCTCAAATATGTTCATAGCATCTGCAGGAGATCCGTCTCTCAAGAAGCCCCTAATAACTTCAGTGAATGTCTGACAATCAGGAAATAGATCTTCCTTTCTCATACTCTCCCACAACTTCATTGCATCATCCATCTTTCTCCGTCTTGCCAATGCAATGATCAGGTCCTTGTAAAGATAGACATCGGGCTGGTACCAGGCTTGTTTCTGAATTACCCAAAACACCTGTAATACAAACAACTAGCTGTGTGTGATAATGCCATTCCATATGCCCCCAAAGTAGAAAAGGCAACTGCTTAGCTAATGAGAATAAATACACTTCGATAAATTAACTGAAAATGAAATTAGCAGGCATATCAAGATTCAAAATGTATGATCTCAACCAAAAAGGAAGAAAATAGAATAGCTGTAAACAGATATCCAAAAAACCAACAGCACAATTTTAACAATGTTTTCCCATTTGATAAATTAAAATAGAAGAACAACTTCACAAGAAAAAATATTATAAAACCACTGAAAAGCAAACACTAATGACCAATTCTATTTATATTATGATCTAATATAAGCACCTTCTCCTACGTCTCATTACCATAGCATTGACTATAAACTCGATAATCCTAAAGCACCGAACGCACTTTACTGCAGCTATCGCCTTACAAGTGAAACTATACAAGTTTTATCGCGTCCAACTAAATTTGGGCACCTAGACACTAAAAGGGAACAGAGAAAGATCACAGCTTTGTGTTATTGTGATAATTCGAACAGCAACAACTTCCTCTTTCACTAAATGCAACAATATAACTTCTTAAATAGGAATGACAAAAAGCAGCTCAATCCTGGTGGGCAGAGTTACCTAGTACCCATATACTCAGTGCAATTAGTCGAGCTGCATACAAGCTGGCCCTTACACCAGTAATAAAAGTACTACGAGTGCAATTCCTGTTTATCAATTTCACTAACTCCCAATATGAACAGATATAAGAAAAATTACATCTTTTGGCATTAGAAAGCTTTACCTTAACAGCAAGCGAGACCTCTTCTTGGCGTTCAAGTTCATTAAGTACAGCAATCATATCCATTTTAAGAAGCCTAAGGACATGTGTTTTAACAAACTTGTCAAGTTTTTCTTCATCATCTCTGAATCTTCTTAACCCAAGAATCACAAAAAGTGCTTCTTTTCCAATCAATTTCTTTCCCCTCCAAAGTGGCCCTCTTGGTCTTCCATCATGGTACCACCTCACATCCCTCACTGAACTTCTAGAAAGCTCTGGAACCCATGATGTAAAACATGAAGAAGAAGATGTTAAGGTGGAAGAAACTGATGGTAATGGAGAAACTGAAAGGTGTTTAAGGAGCAAAGATGGAATTTTTAGTCTTGAAATGGCTCTAATTGCCATTTTTAAAAATTGTCTATGAAAGGGAAAGTGTGTACGCCGGTGATGGTGGCGGAGGCGATGGATACGGCGGCGCCGGTTATGCTCCGGCGGAAGAATCAGTGAAATTGTGTACTAGGGTTGAGAACTTCCGATTATGAAGTTGAAATTGGGAAAGAAATAGTAGTAGTAGTAGTGTTTTACTTTTAGACACCTTATGTTTACAAAAAGTAACATTTAGTCCGAATAGCTTTTGAAAAATACTTAATTAGTCCCAAATTGTCCACCTAGGCAGTCCAGCGTGGACAGTTGTACGGAACTCCGTCCGTTCCTTGTTATTTTTCGATAATTAATTTAATTAACTTTTAAAGTTGAATTAGATTACATTAATTTTATATATTTTAAAATAATATGAAAAATAATATATATAGCATTTTTTTCGTATTAATATGATAAAAATATATTTTAAAATATTAATCAAAATCATATTGATTGACTCTCAAAAAGAAATATAACAACTAAAAAAACTAAGTTGAATAATTTTTTCCTATCATGAATCAATTACAAATTAAAACTATATTATTGTTATTCATTTTCTTCTTCTTTTGCTTTCCACAAGCAAAAGGGTCTCCAAGATATACTGTTTTAATATATAGTGCCCTCCCAATTGGCACACCAAAACTAATAGTAGTTCATTGTGCATATGGAGACGGTGATTTAAGATATCATGAACTTTGGATTTCGTGATATATTCTTTTGTTAAATCGTCGTATTAAAATTAAATTTCTAATTTAATAATGATAATTTTATATATTATTTATCGATCAATGAAATTTAGGATTTCAATTTTATAATGGCGTGTAATTCACACATGGGACCATGGAGAAAGTAAGGAATGAAAGACAACAGCGTGACTTTTAATTTAGCCAAAATTAATCAAAAATGGGTTTTTTTTAGCAACAAAAAAAATGTGGGCAACCAAAAGTTTTTGAATGATATATGAGATTAGTTGAATTAAATTGGCTTTAAAAGTCAACAAATTAAAAATAAATGTTTAGTAATTGTTGCAAGTGTTCTCTCTACACTTTCTCATCAACTCTCTCTCCGTTAAACTAAATCAACATTCAAGAGTCATTATTTTAAATTAAATTTAAGCATGAATTTGACACTATAATACTAATATAAGGAAAATACTATAGCAAATATGCAATAAAAAAGATGATCTTAAAAAGGGTCTCATGAAACAAGAATTTGTGAATTTATATAAACAAATACAAGATATGAGCTAAAAGTGCCACATCACCAAAGCTATATATATAAATATATACTCCCTTTTAATAGTCAGAGTTTGTTTTTAGTCAAATTATAAAAAATTTGACTAATATTTTACGATGCACTTTTTCATCGTATTGATATGCAAAAAATTGAAACTTATAATATTTTTCGTATAGTTTTTGAATATCTAATTTTTCTTTTTAAAAAAAATTGAATTAATATAATCTAATCTAACTTTAAAAATTAGTCAAATTAATTTTCAAAAAATGCAACATGACAAATAAAAGTAGACTGTGGTAGTATTGACTATTGGTGATTGTCATTTATTGAAATTATGACATATATATGAGTTATCAATGTAGTCAAACTAGGAATGAATATTTTTATACAAGACTCCAAAATTTGGAAAAAGAATCAAGTAATAATAATGATGGTAAAATCTAAAGTAGATTAGATAAAAAATCTCTACCCATAAAATTAATTGTATAAAAGGAGGAATGATCATATATAAAAAAGCATATAGTTGAATAGTTTCTTTCTATCATGGATTATTTTCAATTCAAAACTATATTAATGTTATGCATTTTCTTCTTCTTTTGCTTTCCACAAGCAAATGGGGATCATCGAGCGGATAAATACACTGTTGTTATATATAATGCCCTTCCATTTGATTCGCCGAAATTAACGATTCATTGTCATTCTGCAGACGATGATCTAGGATATCATGATCTTGCTGCAAATGAAAATTTCAGTTGGTCATTCAAATTTAATAAATGGCTTTGGGCTAGAACAAGGTTCGGTTGTGAATTTTGGTGGAGTGGAAAAAACAAGTCTTTTGTTGTATTCAATGATTTTGATCACTGTATTTTGTATTCGCCCATTCCTACGACAAATTATTGTCAATGGACTACACAAGAAGATGGTTTTTGGCTGAGTAACTATAGAGGGGATAATTATAGATATACTGAATGGTGAGGGATAAACGTTTATGATCTTATAATAATATTTTTTGTTGGAACCTTACCTTATATAAATAACAATACTTCTTTGTTGAATTACTGATTTTCAATCTTGTTGAATTATTAGTGTATAAATTAGAGTTGATGATTTTATTTTATTAGAAATAAAAGTTTAATAGGTATAAGTTATGTAAATGAACCTTCAAAAAAAAAAAAAAGAGAAAAAAACACAAATAAAAGGAGATAAAAGAAATAACTTTATATTATATATAAATATAAACCTCTTGGATTAAATAAATAAAAGAAAGTAAAAAAGGAACGAAAGTATAATAAGTAATTTAAGGAAATTATATAAATAACATCAATAATAAGATTAAGAGAAGACAAAAATGTGAAATTGAGAAAAATTTAGGAAATAAAGAGATTAATAGATTAATGATGAAAGAAATTAAATATAATATCCTTGATATTCTATAAAATCTCAAGCTTAAGAAAAGATACTAATAGCATTGATGTAATGAAAGGAATCAAATATTACTATTTTTTATGTTCAATAAATTTTTAAGGTGGAATTTTATATCTTTTAAAATTAGAAAAAAAAAAAGATAAACAAAATATAATAGATAAATAAATAAAAAGATCAAATTCATCCAATATAGATTGTAGTCAAACTAGAAATATTGAATTTCTTTATTCAAAGACTCCAAAACTAGTAAAGGAAAAAGTAACTGCAAATTAATATGGATATTAATATCTAAATTATCTCATCATCTCTTCCCATAAAATGATCATATATAAGAAACCATATAGGCTCTAAAACAAATTAAATTAAAGTTGAATATAGTTTTTTCCTATCATGGATTATTCACAATTCAAAACTATATATATTATTATTCTTATGCATTTTCTTCAACTTTTGCTTTCCACAAGCAAAAGGAAATCACCATTGGGGAAAATATACTGTTTCTATATATGATGGCCGACCATCTGATGCTCCCAAATTAAGGGTTCTGTTATTCTGGTGATGACGATATCGAATTTTATGTACCTTCTACCTATGAAAATCTCACTTGGTCATTTAAATTTAATCAATGGCTTTGGGCTAGAACAAAGTTTATTTGTCATTTTTGGTGGGGTAAAATGAATAAAGCTTTCGAGGTATTCAATGATTATGATGTCTGCATTTATATTGTGCCTCTTCCTAAAACAATTTTTTGGCAATGGACTACTCAAGAAGATGGTATTTATTTGACTAACCGTGACGGTATTGGTTATAGATATACTGAATGGTGAGGGAAAAAAGTTTGTGATATTGTAATACTTTTGTTGAAACTTTACCTTATAAAAATAATAATACTTCTTTGTTGAATCGATGATTTTTAAGTTAATTGAATTATTAGTGAATAAATTAGATTTTTCGTTGAAGTTTAATAAGAAATTAACATGCTAACCAAAAAGTGACGTGTTATTTATATTTTCTAAGCAATTCATACATATTTCAACTATTTTAAAGAATATTTAATTGCTTTAATGTGCATAACAAATCAATTTTATATTTTTACTGTGGATAGTTGCTAATGTTCAATAACTATACATGAATTAACCCAAAGTCCATTGGTAGAAATAATTGTTATTTATTTTTTTGTCAGTCCTATCTAGGGGTGAAAGCTAGTGATTAGAGCACAGTCAAATTCAATAGCTTTAATCAAAATTTTATATTTATCTTAAGAAATTCGTTTGTGATCTTGTTTGATTCTTTTGATATAGAAAAGCTTTTTAGGTAACTAAGTGCAAATGTCCCTAATAGTGGTAATTGGGCTTCTAATTTAGTACGTATTAATTGAAGTTAAATTAAAAGTATATATCTCTAATTTAAGCTGATTTTATGATTTTACTTGCAACAAAAATAAAATGATTCACGAAAAATAAAAAAGAAATATATTATATTTGATCTCCAAATGCTCATAGCAATTTTGGGTGGATTATCATTTGATAAAATAATACTCTCTCTGATCTATATTAGTAAATTATTAAAACGTTTTTTATAGTTCAAAATAAATAAATTGTTCAACGTTTAAGATAATTGTTTAGACTTTTATTCATATTTACTAAGTATACATTTATTGAGGTCTTTTCTAGTTAGACTAGTTTGAGAATAATTTTTTTTTAAAAAAGATAATACTAGAAAATAACATTTAATATATGTCCTTAAATATTTCTTTTAACCAATCTACCAAACTTTTAAGTAATTTACTCAATATATATCAGAGGGAGTATATACTGAGTCAATATATAGTCAAACTGCTGGACAATTAATGTTAATGGTATCTAATTATCTATAAATGGAAATTTTCATAATCTGCTCATAAAATTTGATTTTTTTTCTTCTTTTGTAAAATGAGGGGATAATTATTTTATTATATATATATATATATATATATTTTATATTACTATATAAGAAGAGGGAATAACCAACCACAACAACTCAACATGTGTTCCAATAAGAAGAGGGACCAATATATTTATAAAAAGAAATGACATATAAAATAAATAGAGAGAGTATTATTTTTGGAAAATGAAAAAGGACAAAACACATATAAAATTAAAAGACATATAAAAAAAAGTTGGTTTAACTCTCAAACATAAAAAGTAACATATGTTATTAAAAACTTTAATAAAAAGTACTATAATTTACAATAAATAATAACTTAAAATATCTACAAGACAAAAAAAAAGACTAATTTTTGTACTGCTTCTGTCACATAAATTAGGATTGGAATGATTTTAAAATTTTAAATTTGGTTATACATTATAAAATAGCCCAAAAATTGAATGATATAATTTTTTTTAAAATAACCGAATGAATCATCCTATCGATAACCCTAATTTACCTCTACTCTGTT